AAACAACGTCATAACAAGCGACCAAGGTAATAGTTTTTCTCCATTGTTCTTACTTTTGTAACTGCTCCAAAAATCCAAATTCACAGTAATTTTGATGGCTGTTAAGAATTATTTTTCTTCACGTTTTTTTAGCTGTCCCGCTGTGTAAAATCCTAGAATCTCGATGAGTTTTTAAAAGTGTTCATCTTTACAATGTTTTGATTTTTCATTCATCCAGTCCAGGCGAGTCGGTTCATGCGTTGACACTTCTGATAGACATGTGACATGTGAATAGCGGAACTCCCTTGTCTTTTCTGGTTTGTTCTAACAAGATTCAAAGGGATTTTGTGGGCGTTTTAAATAAAATAATTATTCCACTTGCGCTTGTTGGATGAGATGATTATTGCCAACTCGGCGCTATGCGTCTCGTTGGCTATTTTCCATCTCATATCCAACGTGCCCTCGTGGAATAATTGTTAATTATAAAATAACTAAGATAGTACGTGCGCTCTGATTGGTTAAAAACCAATAGTTTATTGTGCCGGTAAAATCATAGAAAACTGAAACATACTTTAAAGTTATTTTATAAAAGTAAAAGACCACATTTTCTAAAGGTTTGCTGGTGTGATAACCCACTTGGGATGTTGGGAGAAGACTGGAAAAGCTTGTAAACCACCAGCTTAACTTCTCAGATCTCTGGGTCTCATGCCCCCAAACCCCCCCTTAGATACGGTATTCTCGCTTTACCAGCACTTGGTATCAGGCACCAGTTACTTTACATTGGGAGCTGGCTACTTTAAAACTTCTGGAGAACACTGAACAATAGAAATATATAAGAACCAATGAGCCTCAGGTGTCACAATCTGCTTGCTTATCTTCTTAGCCATGGAAGAACATGAAAGTCAGGTCCTCCAGGTTGAATGTAGCAGAAAATGCTCTCTGCTTGGTGAACAAGAGCAAAGTCAATCAGCAGGTACTGATATAGTTCATGGTAGATGGTATTTATTATAAAACTTAATAATATACATGGAAAAATTTCTTGAATGAGATTGGCTTAGAGCAGTGCAGTTTTTAGTAAACACAGTAAAAAAAGCAAGGAAACATAATGCAAAAATAAGGAAATAAAGTGCAAATTTCTCAGAGAATGAAAACCTGTGAACAATCAGTGTTCTACAGAAGCGCAGGCGACTGGTGGTTTCGCTGGCTACTCTTATGACTCAAAACAGTAAAAAAAACTGTCTGTACCTTTTATCTTGAATTTTTCAGAAGGTCCTAAAAGAAACAAAAACAATAGCTTGTCGTACAAAAAGCTCTTTGGTGTATGACAATTTGCCTTTTGCTAATGGTATTATCGATATATTTACTGAATGATTTTTGATGAGACATTGCCAGATAATATTTTTTAATTATAAAATAACTAAGATAGTACATGCATTCTGATTGGTTAAAAAGCAATAGTTTATTGTGCTGGTAATCTCATAGTAAACTGAAACATGCTTTAAAGTTATTTTATAAAAGTAAAAGACCACATTTTCTATGGATTTACCAGCATGATAACTCACTTGGTTCTTGGGAGAACTCTGGAAAAGCTTGTAAATAACGAGCAAAACTTCTCAGATCTCTGGGCTTAATGCCCCCAAACCCCTCCCTTAGATACAGTACTCTCGCTTTATCAGTGCTTGGTGTCAGGCACCAGTTTCTTTGCTTTGGGAGCTGGGTACTCTAAAACTTCTGGATAACACTGAACAATAGAAATATATAAGAACCAATGAGCCTCAGGTGTCACAATCTGCTTGCCCAACTTATTAAGATTATATCTTATCTTCTTATATTAGCCATAGAAGAACATGAAAGTGAAGTCCTCCAACTTGAATGTAGCATGGAAAGCTCTCTGCCAGGTGAACAAGAGCAAAGTCATTCAGCAGGTACTGATATACCGGTAGTTGTTTATGGTAGATGGTATTTTATTATGAAGGTTAATAATATACATGAAAAAATTTCTCTGTGAATTTGATTGGCATAGAGCAGTGTACATTTTAGTAAACACAATGCAAAAACAAGGAAACATAATGCAAAAAGAAAGAAATATAATGCAAATTTATCAGAGAATGAAAAACTGTGATTGGGCCAATAAACAATAGAAATTTATCAGAACTAATTAAGTGCCACAATTTGCTGGTGAGAAGCATGTATACTTTTAAAACTTCCCCCTTTTTGGTGTAATTAATTATGCTCTGTTGTCTTACCTAAGTAATCTTTCCTTTTTCTTGTAACACTTTTTTTCTCAATATTTTATTTTATGAATTTACCTGATTATTTTTATTTATTTATTCATTGTGGGTTGTTTTTTTTTTTCATTTTTGTAACCAAGATTTTGAAATTAATAAAGGTGTGGGTGGGCGTGTGTGTGTAACAAATAAGAATGTTAAAACTTTCATATATATATTTTTTACATGGACTCAAAAGAGCAGCTATATATAATGAGTGATTTTGTTACCTCTGCATTCTATCTATGTTCCTGACACATAAAAATCGCCAAAGACATAAAATAATTCATGGATATATCGATCTGAACGTGTGTATTTGTAGAAATATCCCGTACGTGTAATTTCTGTGGCAGTTATGGTTGTTGTTTAGTGATGCATATTTGTTTTAGCCTTTGTTGACTTCTGCTTTAAAATAGAAGAACTATATTTTAATTTCAGTATACTATAATACAGAGTTTTGGAGTGTGTCTTCAGATTAACTGTCTGTGGCTGGTACATAAAGGCCCAAACATTTGCCATTTTGGACTCATTTTTTTTAACAGGGACTCATTGGTTCTGGACTGGGACTCATGATTTCTCACAAGATGAGTCCCAGAATTCATCACATTTATTTGTAACAAAAACACTGTATAATTCATTGATTAGACCTTTTGTCATGTAATTCAAGTGTTGTTGTTGTGGTAAACATGACAAGTCATCATGTCTGTACTTAATTCTCCATGACTGGATTGTAGGATTTTTGTTCTGTTTGTATTTGATCGTGCATTATTATTATGGGAAAACTTACCTTAGGGTTGCATTACTTTGACTAGGACAAAGTTAAAATACATTGAATTCTCATAGAGATAATTATTTTTTGGATTATAATAATGAGTTCATTGGTTGGGTCACTCCCATTATATTTGATGACTGGTTTATGAAATATCAGCACTTAGAAAATGATTGTCAAGGTTGTTGTATTATCCGAAGTTTCAAAAGTAGAAATATTGTGTATTTTCTATTTGAAATCAGGTTTTGAGAACACTTCCACAGATGCAGCTTTATAATAGTAATTCTTGTACAGTTATACAAGCATGCAGTACTAGGGTGCGAAGAAAAGGAGGTCAGTTTTGTGCTTGTCCTTCGGGAAGGCTGTAGCTTGCATCTGTTAGCCCAAGAATCACAACTCTATTATCCATCAGGCAAGATAAAAAATAGAATCCATTAGCCCCATAGCTTATATGAATTGTGTAGTTGGTTAATACAAATAATTCATTTACTAGGAGAAGAGTTGGAACAACACACTCCTGCAGTAGAAAATGGCCCAATTGAGGGAGCAAGCAATGTGCAGGAAACACAGCAACCTCTTCCAGAAGTAAATAATAGTAGCCACTTAGAAGATGACCGCCTAATTGCTAGAGCAAGGGCAGTTGGTGTGGACTATGAGTTTCCAAAGCCTGGTGAAGTGGAAACGCAGGATGACAGAAGATAAGATTTTATTTACTTGAATCAAGTCCATTCCTTTTTCTCTCCAACAACAATGATATATTAAGAAACATTGTTATTATAGCTGGAAATTTCTTTCCAACCATGTGCACACTCATTGGTTATTGCAATGTCACCTGACATCTAACAATGAAACTTTTTGGTGCCAATATTCTCTAAGCAGGCAACATCGCAAAAATCATTCACATCAGAGGGTAACAGTGCACAATTACCCGTGAATGACCAACAACTGACCTTCCAGGGAGGTTTAATGAATTTCCATGCAGCTATAAATTTTTTAAAATATTAACATCACAAATCACTTAAAGACTTGGCCCATGGGAAACAGTTAATTTTGTTTTCCAAGAATCTAAATATTTCCCAACACCATTCTCATTAGTTACTTCGAGGTCACATGACATCTAACTGTTTCCCACCACAATCTCTGAGGAATTGCCAGGCTAATTGACCAGCTGCGGTGGAAATTGGAGAATGACTATATGAATGGTTAGGTACGTTAGGTACAGTGCCAAAGTTGCATTGATAACTGTGGTGATCTTCCCTGAATTTATTTCTTCATTCTGCATTGCCAGTATATGAAATTAATGTATTTATTATACCATATATAACTTTGTTGTGTGAATTCACCTGGGATAAGTTAATCTTTTCTTGTGCTCATGTTTTAAAGTTATAGAGTTTTAGTTTTAGTTTCAACTTTTAAGACCTTTTTCTTTCCTGCTCTTTAAACCTTATCTAACTACGTGTTACTTTTTTCGTAGTTTTCTTTGACTCCTCTTCTTCCTTTGTCGGGAGTGGGTTGCGGCTACACGTAGGCTAGATTACATCCCGATACCGACTGGGGGGTATCAGTATTTGCAACGAGGTTATATCGTATTGTGTACCAGTGCGAATAAAACGATCTTCATCATCATCATTATTATCGTTATTATTATTGTAATGAAATCGGGAGCTCCGCTTTTAGGCTTGGCTAAATCTATATAAATTATTAGCTGCATGGAAATTCATTAAACCTCCCTGGAAGGTCAGTTGTTGGTCATTCACGGGTAATTGTGCACTGTTACCCTCTGATGTGAATGATTTTTGCGATGTTGCCTGCTTAGAGAATATTGGCACCAAAAAGTTTCATTGTTAGATGTCAGGTGACATTGCAATAACCAATGAGTGTGCACATGGTTGGAAAGAAATTTCCAGCTATAATAACAATGTTTCTTAATATATCATTGTTGTTGGAGAGAAAAAGGAATGGACTTGATTCAAGTAAATAAAATCTTATCTTCTGTCATCCTGCGTTTCCACTTCACCAGGCTTTGGAAACTCATAGTCCACACCAACTGCCCTTGCTCTAGCAATTAGGCGGTCATCTTCTAAGTGGCTACTATTATTTACTTCTGGAAGAGGTTGCTGTGTTTCCTGCACATTGCTTGCTCCCTCAATTGGGCCATTTTCTACTGCAGGAGTGTGTTGTTCCAACTCTTCTCCTAGTAAATGAATTATTTGTATTAACCAACTACACAATTCATATAAGCTATGGGGCTAATGGATTCTATTTTTTATCTTGCCTGATGGATAATAGAGTTGTGATTCTTGGGCTAACAGATGCAAGCTACAGCCTTCCCGAAGGACAAGCACAAAACTGACCTCCTTTTCTTCGCACCCTAGTACTGCATGCTTGTATAACTGTACAAGAATTACTATTATAAAGCTGCATCTGTGGAAGTGTTCTCAAAACCTGATTTCAAATAGAAAATACACAATATTTCTACTTTTGAAACTTCGGATAATACAACAACCTTGACAATCATTTTCTAAGTGCTGATATTTCATAAACCAGTCATCAAATATAATGGGAGTGACCCAACCAATGAACTCATTATTATAATCCAAAAAATAATTATCTCTATGAGAATTCAATGTATTTTAACTTTGTCCTAGTCAAAGTAATGCAACCCTAAGGTAAGTTTTCCCATAATAATAATGCACGATCAAATACAAACAGAACAAAAATCCTACAATCCAGTCATGGAGAATTAAGTACAGACATGATGACTTGTCATGTTTACCACAACAACAACACTTGAATTACATGACAAAAGGTCTAATCAATGAATTATACAGTGTTTTTGTTACAAATAAATGTGATGAATTCTGGGACTCATCTTGTGAGAAATCATGAGTCCCAGTCCAGAACCAATGAGTCCCTGTTAAAAAAAAATGAGTCCAAAATGGCAAATGTTTGGGCCTTTATGTACCAGCCACAGACAGTTAATCTGAAGACACACTCCAAAACTCTGTATTATAGTATACTGAAATTAAAATATAGTTCTTCTATTTTAAAGCAGAAGTCAACAAAGGCTAAAACAAATATGCATCACTAAACAACAACCATAACTGCCACAGAAATTACACGTCACGGGATATTTCTACAAATACACACGCTCAGATCGATATATCCATGAATTATTTTATGTCTTTGGCGATTTTTATGTGTCAGGAACATAGATAGAATGCAGAGGTAACAAAATCACTCATTATATATAGCTGCTCTTTTGAGTCCATGTAAAAATATATATATGAAAGTTTTAACATTCTTATTTGTTACACACACACGCCCACCCACACCTTTATTAATTTCAAAATCTTGGTTACAAAAATGAAAAAAAAAAAACAACCCACAATGAATAAATAAATAAAAATAATCAGGTAAATTCATAAAATAAAATATTGAGAAAAAAAGTGTTACAAGAAAAAGGAAAGATTACTTAGGTAAGACAACAGAGCATAATTAATTACACCAAAAAGGGGGAAGTTTTAAAAGTATACATGCTTCTCACCAGCAAATTGTGGCACTTAATTAGTTCTGATAAATTTCTATTGTTTATTGGCCCAATCACAGTTTTTCATTCTCTGATAAATTTGCATTATATTTCTTTCTTTTTGCATTATGTTTCCTTGTTTTTGCATTGTGTTTACTAAAATGTACACTGCTCTATGCCAATCAAATTCACAGAGAAATTTTTTCATGTATATTATTAACCTTCATAATAAATTATAACATAGCTAGAAAATTCGCCTAATCAAATTCAATAGCGCGAGCGTGCTTCATATTCCTATTGAGCACGCTGATGACGTCAATAAACTATTCGTAATTCCTCGAGTTGTTGTGAGCTTAGCAATCCTGAGTCTCTTGAGTGCATCCATAACTCAGCAATAGACAATGAAGCGTTTACCATGTGTTTTGTAAAGAAATTTAAGAGGAAACGTTTGAATTTGTTAACCGATAGTAAGGAAAAGAGGTGAGTGTTGTTGTTGTTTTTGTCATCTCCGCGAGCTGTGCGGGCTATGGCGTGAGCTCATTCTTTGCAAAGTTGTTTTCTCTCAATAACAATTTTTCGGTAAATTAATAGTTTTCCGGCACCTAAATATGGATTTTACAATCATTTTAGAGTACACTTTCTCTCAGTTTCAGGATAAAAACATAAGATTAACTGTGAGGAAAAAAGATATATTCACGTAAACATTGACGCGTACTGCTTTGAGCGCGCCCTTCAATAATAAAATTTTCAGTTAACTGCTGCATTGATCGCTTTGATAATGTTATAAAACAATTAGTTCATGCTGCAGCTGTGCGTATGTCGAGATATTGAGCACTTGGGAAGTTTGGAGAGCACTCAAGAGGCTAGAGTTGCACTCGGCTGCGCCTCGTGCAACTCTTACGCCTCTTTCGTGCTCTCCAAACTTCCCGCGTGCTCAATATCTCGACATACGCACGCTGACGCATGAACTAATTGTTAAATACCATCTACCATAAACAACTACCGGTATATCAGTACCTGCTGAATGACTTTGCTCTTGTTCACCTGGCAGAGAGCTTTCCATGCTACATTCAAGTTGGAGAACTTCACTTTCATGTTCTTCTATGGCTAATATAAGAAGATAAGATATAATCTTAATAAGTTGGGCAAGCAGATTGTGACACCTGAGGCTGATTGGTTCTTATATATTTCTATTGTTCAGTGTTATCCAGAAGTTTTAGAGTACCCAGCTCCCAAAGCAAAGAAACTGGTGCCTGACACCAAGCACTGATAAAGCGAGAGTACTGTATCTAAGGGAGGGGTTTGGGGGCATTAAGCCCAGAGATCTGAGAAGTTTTGCTCGTTATTTACAAGCTTTTCCAGAGTTCTCCCAAGAACCAAGTGAGTTATCATGCTGGTAAATCCATAGAAAATGTGGTCTTTTACTTTTATAAAATAACTTTAAAGCATGTTTCAGTTTACTATGAGATTACCAGCACAATAAACTATTGCTTTTTAACCAATCAGAATGCATGTACTATCTTAGTTATTTTATAATTAAAAAATATTATCTGGCAATGTCTCATCAAAAATCATTCAGTAAATATATCGATAATACCATTAGCAAAAAGGCAAATTGTCATACACCAAAGAGCTTTTTTGTATACGACAAGCTATTGTTTTTGTTTCTTTTAGGACCTTCTGAAAATTCAAGATAAAAGGTACAGACAGTTTTTTTACTGTTTTGAGTCATAAGAGTAGCCAGCGAAACCACCAGTCGCCTGCGCTTCTGTAGAACACTGATTGTTCACAGGTTTTCATTCTCTGAGAAATTTGCACTTTATTTCCTTATTTTTGCATTATGTTTCCTTGCTTTTTTTACTGTGTTTACTAAAAACTGCACTGCTCTAAGCCAATCTCATTCAAGAAATTTTTCCATGTATATTATTAAGTTTTATAATAAATACCATCTACCATGAACTATATCAGTACCTGCTGATTGACTTTGCTCTTGTTCACCAAGCAGAGAGCATTTTCTGCTACATTCAACCTGGAGGACCTGACTTTCATGTTCTTCCATGGCTAAGAAGATAAGCAAGCAGATTGTGACACCTGAGGCTCATTGGTTCTTATATATTTCTATTGTTCAGTGTTCTCCAGAAGTTTTAAAGTAGCCAGCTCCCAATGTAAAGTAACTGGTGCCTGATACCAAGTGCTGGTAAAGCGAGAATACCGTATCTAAGGGGGTTTGGGGGCATGAGACCCAGAGATCTGAGAAGTTAAGCTGGTGGTTTACAAGCTTTTCCAGTCTTCTCCCAACATCCCAAGTGGGTTATCACACCAGCAAACCTTTAGAAAATGTGGTCTTTTACTTTTATAAAATAACTTTAAAGTATGTTTCAGTTTTCTATGATTTTACCGGCACAATAAACTATTGGTTTTAACCAATCAGAGCGCACGATACTATCTTAGTTATTTTATAATTAACAATTATTCCACGAGGGCACGTTGGATATGAGATGGAAAAAATAGCCAACGAGACGCATAGCGCCGAGTTGGCAATAATCATCTCATCCAACAAGCGCAAGTGGAATAATTATTTTATTTAAAACGCCCACAAAATCCCTTTGAATCTTGTTAGAACAAACCAGAAAAGACAAGGGAGTTCCGCTATTCACATGTCACATGTCTATCAGAAGTGTCAACGCATGAACCGACTTCGCCTGGACTGGATGAATGAAAAATCAAAACATTGTAAAGATGAACACTTTTAAAAACTCATCGAGATTCTAGGATTTTACACAGCGGGACAGCTAAAAAAACGTGAAGAAAAAAATAATTTTAACAGCCATCAAAATTACTGTGAATTTGGATTTTTGGAGCAGTTACAAAAGTAAGAACAATGGAGAAAAACTATTACCTTGGTCGCTTGTTATGACGTTGTTTGAAGCCACAAGCTGGTTTTGCTGAACAAGAAAAGAAGCTTTACTGACGCCTCGATTGCTGTAGTGAATGGCTGCATAGCGTGTATTCTAGTTGCTTGTGATTTATATTCTTCATGTCGGATAAACAAGCCGCAGCTATCTATCGGCAAGTGCCTCAGCGAGTGGCTTCACAACCATGAATAAACAACACCTGTCTTCTTTTGTAGCTGTTCAAGGCACTTTAGTTCCATGTATTTTCATGTGTTTTTCGATAAACTTTCAAACAAGCTCTTGTGGCTTTTTTTGTTTGTTTGTTATTTTCCGATGAAATTGCATGTTCTAGTATTCTAAGAAATGAATTAACACGATTTGCTTCGGTGCCGTTTTCCCTTCATGGAAAAAAAATGGAACTTACGAAAAATTGAAGATAAAAGTTACAGACAGTTTTTTTATGTTTTGACTCATAAGAGTAGCTGGCACTTTGAAAAAAGAGTTCCCAGTGAAACTGCCAGTTGCCCGCACTTCTGGAGAACACTGATTATTTATTAGCCAATCACAGGTTTTCATTCTCTGAGAAATTCGCACTTTATTTCCTTATTTTTGCATTATGTTTCCTTGTTTTTGTACTGTGTTTACTAAAAACTGGCTAAACAAAGGGGCGGTATTTGCTAGATAGTGAGCTTTTGTTATGAGCCGCACTAGACGCTTTTGCAAAAGGTAAATACAGTTTAGGTTGGAACAGTAGGTGGAGGACCAGGCGACATTTCAGTATGTTAAGAAAGGATATACAAAAGGTGACAATGATTTTGAAAACATTTTAAAAATGACATTGTAGAAAACCTTTTTGCAGTTGTTGTGTTACAATTTGACGATAGTTGTTACGTAGATGCTAAAAAACATCCCTTAGCCTCGTTTTCAACTCGCAATTCCACACTGAATACCTCTCTTCGTTAACCAATCAGAATGCGTGATTTTACTCAATTATGCAATTCTATAATAAATACCATCTACCATGAACTATATCAGTACCTGCTGAGTGACTTTGCTCTTGTTCACCAGTGCAGAGAGCATTCCATGCTACATTCAACCTGGAGGACCTGACTTTCATGTTCTTCCATGGCTATAAGAAGATAAGATAAAATCTTTAGTTGGGCAAGAATTTTCCCTCACCCCTACATACACCTATTGTTCAAAGAAAACATGTCAGAACAATACTGAGCCAAAAGTTGTGATTTCTGGTTTACCTCTTATGGGGAATTGTTTTTAAGAATAAACGAGCTGAGCTTGACAATATTCCTGGAAATATTATTTACTACACTGTACCCTCCAATGAATAAACAACTTGATAACCACACTCAAAACTGGTTTATAATATTTCCCCATCTCTGAACACAAGGAGTTTTTGAGCATTCACGATCACATACTTTTTGTCTTAATTTGGCTATTACTGCAAAGTACAATGTCTTCAATACAGTAAAAACCTAGCTGTGACTAAGAACCTGGTTTTTAGGAACCTGTTTGGCTAAACTTGCCAGTTATAATTAGGCCTCAGGCTCTATACAAGAACCTGTTTAGCCCAATATTTGACACACATCTTTATTTCCTCAAATCTATAAAAAAAATTCTATACACCTGGAAAATATTCAGGTGAACCTCTTTGGGAGACATAAGCTGCAATGTTTTTTTTCCTGCAGAAAATAAGAACCTTTTCATTTTAGAAAAATAGACAAATTTTTTGCCAATAACTATTTTTGTAAGAACGTACCTGTTAATGCAATGGGAAAATCCAGGTTCTTACCTACGAGTTTTTACTGTCTTTTGACCGGTCCGAGCTAAAATTTGTTTGGCAGGTAATAATTTATTTTGACCGGTTAGTAACTAGACATGACCAAGCTTAAATTTGTTTGGCCTGTCAACATTCAAAAATAATTTCAAACCCTGGCTGCCCTCCTTATTTACATAGATCTCCATATATATTCTTAAACACTCGAAGATAGGTATCTACAAAATGGAAAAGCCTAGATTTATAGTAAAATAATAAAAGTTATTTCAATTACAAGAGGGAGAATAGATCCTTCAAATTCTGTTTATCCTGAATAAAACAAATAGAGGTAAGCTCGAACAATCTGCACCAAAACGCTCTTTCAACAGACATTGAAAATCTTCAAATTCAAGGTGCTCTCTGTACTGTTCTCTTTTCAGAAAACATAACAACGCTTTCACAGACCGTATAATTTACATTCCTCTAACACTGAATCATTTTAACTTGTCACAGAGGCCAGAGTCGCCGAAAATTTACATAAGGAGTTATCATTCATTCAGCGATGCATCGGACACATGGCAATGGTTATAATTTTCGATAAAATTTCATTAATACAATTTAAGATTACCTTATTTTCCGCGCCAGAAACAACGAAAATACACCGAGGAGCACGAATTATAAGGTTACTCTATAATTTTATCTTGGACGCGACTGTCTTGTTAAAGTGAAATTTCAATCATATCGTTTCTCTTCAACGAACTTGGAGGACACAGGTCAACTTCAATTGGATGATAAAAGTATCAACTCTAGACTGCGTGACAACAAATGACGTGTGGTGATTGGTCCAAAAAAAACTGATGCAATTACAAAGAGGTTATTGATTAACAAACAAAACAAAAGCTACCTCTGTTTTCGTAAAATCCCCGATTCTTATAACAGAAAGCTAACCTCGGCAAAAATTCGCTCACCTTCTCCTCCTTCTCGTTCGTTTTTCGTTTATACGACGCCTGTTTTCCTTGCTGTCTCTCGCTCCCTTCTTCGCCGCTCGTCGCTTATTAGGCGTCTATTTTCTCTTGCTCTCTCGTTCATTCTCCAGTTGCTCTTCAGTGAAATTTTGTCGCCTTTCCTTTCTCTTTCTTGCGCTTTTCTCCGTTGTTCGTCAGTAAAATTTTGCCTCCTTTCTCTGTTTCTCTCTTGCTCTCTCTCGCGTTGCTCCTCAGTAAAATGTTTCCTCCTTTCTCTGTCCCTTTCCTGTTCTCTCCCCGTTGCTCATAAGTAAAATTGCGCCTCCTTTCTCGACTCTATCCCTTTCATGTTCTCTCTCCGTTGCTCATCAGTAAAATTGCGCCTCCTTTCTCTATGCCTTTCCTGCTCTTTCTCCCGTTGCTCGTCAGTAAAATTGCGCCTCCTTTCTCTGTTTCTTTCTTGCTCCCTCTCCCGTTGCTCGTCAGAGCAGTTTCGCCTCCTTTCTCAAGCTCTCTGCCGCTCTCTCTCTCGTTGAGCTTGGCTTGCTTGCCGCCTACTTTCTCGTTTTCTCTGCCTCTCTTTATCTCTATACTCCAAACTAGAGGGCATAATAAATAAATAATGTAGAAAATACGGATGTATAAAAAATGTCAACCGACACGAAAAATTTCTTTTTTTCTCAGTTGACGTTCCTGAACTTCTAATAGAGTTGTTTATGCTTCACAAAACGCGGGTTGCCATTCGTTTTCGCGCCAAAAAACCCTCACCACAGACTACCCGAAATTTTGCGTTGGCATGCCTGTGGTGCGGACGGACGGTCGGGCGGGCGGTCGGTGTACGGTCACGTGATTACCAAATTTTCTCGGATGGGTAGTTTACCATATTTTGTTACCCATGGTGCTCCGCTGCGCGCTTCGCGCGCGAGAGCTCCGCTATAAAGGGGTATGGACACCTACGTTTAACTACAGTGCTGATGTTTTGCCCATTGCTGGCAGAGTCTAGGTATCGTAGGCAAAGAGGCACATTTATCATTAGTGTAGCGGAAACAAAGCAGGTTGATAGGATTTTAGAAGTTTTGTCATTTTTGCGATCAGGAGAGGGCTTAACCCTTTAATAATAATAACCTTAACTTTTCAAATGAAAAAAGGCAAGATGAAGCTTTGCGGATTGTTTGTAAATCATGTATTTTTTTCATAATATGCGAAAAAATTTCAAGCAAAAAATTCGCCATATATGTACAGTCGTGTTTGTTCTCGAATCTTGACCATTCTCTATTCAGGGGCACCCAACGACTGTTGTCACTGTTTTCTGGGGAAGTAAATAGTGCCTAGAATTTTCTATTGCTTGAAGTCGGCTACAAATTTCTAGGTGACCGTTCCATTCATGTACAATTTTCGAAACTTCATGTAATAAATTCTCTACGATTTTCTGAAGCTTACTTTTTCACATTTCACTCCCCAAGTAATGCTGTTTTTCATAGAAACAGGAAATCTAACACATGATTTTCGGATTTAAAAGCGTGATTGAAAGGGGAATCAGAAAAATTCCCCCACGTTCGTAATTTTCGGGAGAATGTTGCTGAAGCCCTTGTAATTTCGAGAAGACTCAAAGTCCCCTAGATACAAATTTTATAGCCCCGCTTAGAATGTATTTCTAGAGCCGAAATCTGAAATTATTCTGGATAACCTTAAAAGTGTTTTCAACTTATTTAGGAGGAAATCGTCGTTGGGTGCCCCTGATTCAGGTGCAATTTTCGAAGCTTATCTGAACAATTCCCTACGATTTTCTGAAGTTGATTTTTCAACTTTCACTTCCCAAGTTACGCTATTTTTCGTAAAAATGGAAGCCTAAAATTTTCTGATTCACAAATGTGATGAAGAGAGGAATCAGAAAATGTTTGTGACTTTCGTCATGTCCGTCAACTTGCATCTAAAATTTTGTGGAAATGATACTCAATCGGCTTGTGTAAATTTCGACAAGACTCAAGTTTTCCTAAGATGACCGACCAGATATAAATTTATAGCGCCACTTAGAATGCATTTCTGGAGATTTATTTAACTCTGGATAGCTGTTTTCAATGTAAGGAGGAAACCGTTGTTTGGTACCCCTGCCCATGAACATACTCACACAGGGCCTTGGCAAAGAAAATGTGAATGCGATACAAAACGGCATGTAAGTCATCAGGCGAGTAAAATGACTTAAAGTAAGCACTACGTCTTTTCGAAAAAGCTCGAGGATAGAGGGTAGCCTTATAAACTTCCGTCGGCAACTAATGAAAATTTGCATACCAAGTGGCCCAAGAAATGCAATGATCAGAATAACAACGTGGGTAAGCTAGAATGACTGCTATTCATTAACAATGTTCGTTTTGACAATACTATATGCAAATAACTGAAATAATCGCTTTGTTTTTTAAACAACTAATAATACACTTTCTTTTTCTTACTCCGTAAGAAGTTTGAAATAATGAAAAGGAAATGAATTTCTTTACCCTCCGGCATTTCACTTAAAATAGAATCATTAGCTCTAAATTTACGTTTCAAATGACACTGTTCGAGGGCTGTTTAGAAACTTCCGTCGGCAGCTAGTTGAAAATTTGCATACCTGTTATCAACACTCCACGCGAAAAACAACTGTTAAGCATGCGGATGAACCTGACGAACCTCAGTTACGTTAGAAATCTATCAGACGCTTTTTTGGCGACAAACAAGACGCTAGATCATTCTTGTGATTGCAAGGAGACAAAGATGTAATAGCATGAAATATCCATGCACCTCTAACATCTAACGGATAACTCTAAAGCTTTTTTACCCTGGGTGCTAGGATTTATTTTCTTTCCTTATTCCTGGTAGTTCCCGTCTCAGGAGCTTTTTTCGAACCACATAGACAGTTATTTCATCCACGACGTCTTTCGAGAACGGACCTCTTGCATTGAGCCAGGATAAAGCATTTCAGGCCTTCAAGTAAATTTGATCGCCCCAGAAGCTTGCGTTTGTCACTTTTAAAAGTTCTTCTTCTATACCTGATTATTAGCAAAGCTCTGTAACAATTTTGGGTCAATCTTGCTTTCTTTTTTTGTCACTTTTCCTCGCCTGCAGCCAAAATTTTCCCCGAATTTGCACAAGTAAGCCTGCTAGCAGGCTAGGTGGTTAAAGGAGTGCTCATGCACAATTAGCCCAAATACAAAGAATTTTGTCTGCAAAAAGAAACTTGGTAGTGAAATTACCGGGGACTAAGACTGGCGTCAACTTGGGTATGGGCAGGTGAGGGTACTTTGCTTATAGCCCTCTCTGCCTTTTCATTAAGGAAATAGGCATATTTCGTTCAATGGTCTTTGTTGAATTTTGGAAAAAAACAGTTTCTGAAGTCTATAGCTGTTT